AGGGTCTGTGAGATGAACAAAGAAGAGGAAGATGTCACTGCACATCTTTGACTTGACTGGATGCAGACAGACTACTCCATCCCTATATTCAGTACAGTAGAGTGCATGAGCGTTCTCATCTGCCTTCCTCCCCTCTCCATGAGCTTTCTCTACTCCTTCTCTGCCTTCTAGTAGAACAGGGGAGAAAACAGTGAACTTTCCATGCAGAACCAACTCCTGGAGAAGAACCAAAAGTGGTGTGGTCTGTTCAGCCTGTTACCTGAGCAACAGTGACAAGATCATGTGGGACTCACCAGGTCAGTCATTTCCTTTTCTCTTCCCATCCGTGTGACCAGCAGCTGGTCTGTGATGCCTTGTAGGAACACATCCTGTTGAGCAGGTAGCAGCAAGAGCAGCACACTGTGGAACAATGACATTCATAGACTCCCCAGATGACAGAAGTCTGCATGGGTTCCTTTAAATGACCAGGACTGAAATGGACGCCATCCCCATCAGACCATTTCCCCGAAAGGGCCATGCATTACTGCATCACATTTGCAGGGAGTGCTTATTAAAATGGTAGATATCTGTGTCCACGACAGACACTAAATCATGCTTATTAAAATGTTAGATATCTGGGTCCACAACAGACACTGAATCAATACCTGAGAAGTGGGGTGTGGCATAGCCACTTCTTTCTGATGGCTGTCCAGACTGAGAAGCTTCTGTAAAGCAAAGGACACTGTCGCTAAGACACAAAGGCAACCCACTAACTGGGAGAAGATCTTCACCAACCCCGCAACTGACAAAGGTCTGATCTCCAAAATATATAAAGATCTCAAGAAACTAGACCGTAAAAGGCTAACCAACCCAATTATAAAATGGGGCATTGAGCTGAACAGAGAATTCTCAACAGAAGAACTTCAAATGGCCAAAAGACACTTAAGGTCATGCTCAACTTCCTTAGTGATCAGGGAAATGCAAATCAAGACAACTTTAAGATACCATCTTATACCTGTCAGAATGGCTAAAATAAAAAACACCAATGATAGCCTTTGTTGGAGAGGTTGTGGAGAAAGGGGTACACTCATCCATTGCTGGTGGGAATGCAAACTTGTGCAACCACTATGGAAGTCAGTGTTTCGGTTTCTCAGGAAATTCGGGATCAACTTACCCCTGGACCCAGCAATACCACTCTTGGGAATATACCCAAGAGAGGCCTTATCATACAACAAAAGTATATGCTCTACGATGTTCATAGCAGCATTGTTTGTGATAGCCAGAACCTGGAAACAACCTAGATGCCCTTCAATGGAAGAATGGATGAAGAAAGTATGGAATATATACATATTAGAGTACTACTCAGCAGTAAGAACCAAGGACTTCTTGAATTTTGCATACAAATGGATGGAAATAGAAAACACTATCCTGAGTGGGGTAAGCCAGACCCAAAAAGAGGAACATGGGATGTACTCACTCATATTTGGTTTCTAGCCTTAAACCAAGGACATTGAGCCTATAATGAGTGATACTAGAGAAGCTAAATAAGGAGAACCCAAAGAAAAACATATAGGCATCCTCCTGAATATTAACCTTCAGCAGGCGATGAAAGGAGACAGAGACAGAGACCCACATTGGAGCACCGGACATAAATCTCAAGGTCCAAATCAGGAGCAGAAGGAGAGAGAGCACGAGCAAGGAACTCAGGACCGCAAGGGGTGCACCCATACACTGAGACAAAGGGGATGTTCTACTGAGAACTCACCAAGGCCAGCTGGCCTGGGTCTGGAAAAGCCTGGGATAAAACCGGACTCTCTGAACATAGCAGACAATGAGGACTACTGAGAACTCAAGAACAATGGCAATGGGTTTCTGATCCTACTGCACACGCTGACTTTGTGGGAGCCTAGGCAGTTTGGATGCTCAACTTACTAGACCTGGATGGAGGTGGGGTTCCTTGGACTTCCCACAGGACAGGGAACCCTGATTGCTTTTCGGGCTGAGGGGGGGACTTAATTGGGGGAGGGGGAGGGATATGGGAGGCGGTGGCGGGGAAGAGACAGAAATCTTTAATAAATAAATAAATTAAAAAATTTAAAAAAAAGTATTGCTAGTGGGTTTTACATTCTGTCTTTCAGGATATGGATCACAGACTGCTTAATTCCATACAATGTCCTCTTGTTAATCCCATAAATACCAGTGTGTTACATGGCATAGCAAATAGATAAATCAATTCCTTCATGTATGTTTATCCAGATATTCACATAGTGGCCTCTTTTGTGAGCACCGGGTTCCTGCACTGAGAAGACTAGCAGAGTTAGATGGCTAAATTGTCAGTAAGTAGAGGATAGCAGTAATTGCAGCAACTCCATATGTTATTTGTGCTTTAAAGAACTCAAGGTGGACATAAAATGGCTGTGATGGGGATTGTTGTAGGTGGGGTTTCCCCCAAAGTCGGTTTCATCAGGTAGCATTTGACTCGAGTCCTGATTGACAAGAAGAAGAAGGGATATACAAGCCTTGTTGGTGGGCTTGTCCACATGGACCTCATTTGGTCTACGAGCAGAGGACAAGCCTAGAGGCTGGCGGACAGTGTAGTCATGTCGGTGTGAGGTGGAAAAGGTAGATGACTCTCATAGTCTTTCAGTTGTATTATGACTATGAAAGGAAGATTTGGAGAGAGTCACAATTTCACTCTTGTTGTTGTTATGTTATTGTGTGTAGAATGAACTGAGTAGAAACTGTTGCGAGAGTGGGTTGGAACAGCCATTATGGTCAACGGGAGCCATGCAGCTGCAGTGTGTAGAGAGTGGAACATTTGGCCATGGCTGCTGTTGGCAGGGCAGTGACTGTGCATGGGGCTTATGGGGAAGAGGCGGGGCAAAAATTCCTGGGCTTTTCTGGCTCCATGTCCACATAGTGGTGCTGTTTTCTGATATCAGTTGTTTCTTGTGTTTTTGAGACATTCCCTGGATGGTTTGGAAACCCAATGACCCTTATCGTGAAACTTGGTGATTTAATGACACACATCAGTTGATGAAGAAGCTTCTCTCATCTCTGCAGCAATACTTGCTCACCTTAGTGACACCTGGAAGTGTCATACAATGTTCACCTCCCAGAGGAGTAGTAGTAATGGCACTAGTGGTAAAGGTAGTAGTAGTGATAGTGGTGGTGGTATTGGTGGTGGTGGTGATGGTGGTGGTGATGGTGGTGATGGTGGTGGTGGTGGTGGTGATGGTGGTGGTGGTGGTGGTGGTGGTGGTGGTGATGGTGGTGATGATGGTGGTGGTGGTGATGGTGGTGATGGTGGTGGTGATGGTGGTGGTGGTGCTGGTGGTGATGGTGGTGGTGGTGGTGGTGGTGGTGGTGGTGGTGGTGGTGATGGTGGTGATGATTGTGGTGGTGGTGGTGATGGTGGTGATGGTGGTGATGATGGTGGTGGTGGTGGTGGTGGTGGTGATGGTGGTGGTAATGGTGGTGGTGGTGGTAATGGTGGTAGTGTTAGTGGTGGTGGTGTTGGTAATTTTGGTGGTGGTGTTAGTGGTGGTGGTGGTGGTGATTTTGGTGGTGGTGTTAGTGGTGGTGGTGGTGATGATGGTGGTGGTGGTTGTGGTGGTAGTGATGGTGGTGGTAATGGTGGTGGTGGTGATGGTGGTGGTGGTAATGGTGGTGTTGGTAATGGTGGTGGTGTTAGTGGTAATGGTGGTGGTGGTGATGGTGGTGGTGGTGGTGGTGGTGTTAGTGGTGGTGATGGTGTTAGTTGTGGTGGTGGTGGTGGTAGTGGTGGTGGTGGTGGTGGTGGTTGTAGTTTCACCTCTGGGACCTCTGAACTCGCCAACCATGGGATCATGATGACATTTATAGTATTAGGCAAGTGTTTCCTCCTGTGGAGTGGGCCTTAAATTGAAACATAAAGTTACTTGGTTACCTCTGTGATATTCATGCCACTGTTGACCCATGGGTATATCTTGCCATGTTGGCCATTATTGTAGTTCACAGAGGAATAAGAACATTGACAACTTTCCTCCACTCAATAGCCTGGTAGTATCTTCTGGTAATAGGAAAACTAGGTAATAGGAAGGAAGGTTTCTGGTCAGTGTCAACTTGATTTCTCCATACCCTGTGGCCAACGTGTGTGGTGTCTTAAGCAATAGGAATCAAGAGCAATGACAATAGGAATCAAGATCAAAACAATACCTGCATTGTTTTGGGGGATCACTGGAACAGCCCTGACCAACAGCTGGAGGGGGTGTTCCACACTTGGCACTGGGCTTTTTAATAATCCATGGCTTCTGGGAGAAGCATCATCCCTTTCGTCAGGTAACTCCAATTAAATTCATATATATTATAAAATAGTAGGTTGGCTACTACTATCACGTCTGGTCTTTAATTCAATCTGTAAGAGAAAATATTTCACATCTCCCTGATAAGTCTGACTTGCTGCACTCACGTGAAGATCTCCATTTTAACACGGACTTTTTAGTCTTTTCCAAATTCTTCCTGATGAGATAGGTCACTGTGCACTTTTCTGTTGCATTCCTGGCCCCAAATCTGGAATCAGCCATTTTCCCCAGGCATCTTTGAGGGGGCAGTGTTTTTAGTGTACTCAATCTGAGCAATGGAGTTGGTGATAAGTAGTTGATTGGAATCAGTGCATGGAATGAGTACTTCTGCATCTTCGAGAGCATAAATGTCAGCCTCTGTCCTGGTTTCTTCCAGGGCACTCTATAGGAGATCATTTTCTTTTCTTGGGGGGCGCTCAACTATCCAGTGTTTCAAAGCACAAGCATACATATTTTATCAATTCTCCCACTCACAATAAAGGTGTGCACTCTCTGTTCCCAATGCACCTTTCTGAATTGATGAAAATGCTCTGCATCTGCACTGCCCAGCCCAGGAAGCTCTAGCTGTCTGTGGCTGTTGGCCACTGGAAATCTGAGCAGTGCTGAAGGTGACACTTATAATTATGGTTAAATTTTGTTTGTTAAAGCTGACTTTATTTATTTTAAATAGGGTTATATAATTTATTAACCTCCATGTGCCGCATGTAACTGAGGAAAATATTAGGCAGATAACCCTGGCCTCATTTCTTCACCTTGTGTTGTGTATTCACAATATATCCTGGAGATCACTCTATAATTATAATCATGGACTTCATGTTGCCTTCTTAAAAATTATTTTGTTTGTTTTGAGATAGAATCTCAGTATATAAGTCAGGTAAAACTTGAGCTCACTATGTAGCTCAGGATAGCCTCAAAACGACTATTCTCTTGTCTTTACCATCAGCCTGTTGGCATCACAGATGCATACCATCATACCTGGCTAAGCACATGCGTACCTAGTCATTTGAGTGGTAGATACACCTGAGATCATGCTGTCCCTCTTTCCTTCCCACAGATGTTTTTCATAGTTCTGCTCTTGGAGTTCTACATTGTTGCTCTGTCAGATTCTTTGTGTCCCCTTCCGTGTTCTTTGGGATGGATCCTTAGAAGAAAGACCCCTGGTCCCAGAATGCACGCTTGTGGTTTTCACTAGCATAAGATCCATCCATAGGCTTGGAGAACAGTTGCATTCTCTCCAGCAATGGAGAAGAGTGTCTTTTTGCTCACAGACTACCCACGTGGAGAGCTGAGAGGAGGTGACTGCTATGTGAGAAACCTGTGGTGAGCATTTCCTGAAATCAGGAGAGTGACATGCTCAGACTGGACCCTCTGCCTGTCTTTGTCTTTGAAGATGTGGTTCCTCTTCCTCTCTGAGTCCTGTGGCTCTGGTTCTAGGCCCACAGTGTGGGAATGGGAAGTCACGTGCTTGGTGTAACCTCAATGACCTCCTTAAACAAATTGCTTTCTTATAGATCATCCATACATGTTAACTGCACTATCAAATGGAAGCAGAATCAGAAAAAAATCTACTCCGCACCCAGGATAACTTCCAAGACCGACACCACACAAGGTTTATCCTCCCTCCCCTCTGTAAGGGAGATATAGCCAGGAGAAGAGTGGGGCCTGATAGCGAACACTGTGGGAAGGATGGGCCAAATTTTCCTTGGTTTCCAAGGCAGCATTTGTTTTTCTTTGTGGACCAGACAGTTTAAGGCAGTCTCTTTGAATGGTTTCCATGGGAATCCACTTGAGCAGATCAAAAGAGGGAAAAAGGAATTGTGTGAGACATGTAGGTGTGGGGTTAGAATGATGATGCCTGGCACACAATAAACTACTAATTCACAGAAATAAATTGATGACATGGCTGAAGGAAATGTATGTGTGTGTGTATATGTGTGTGTGTGTGTTTGTGTGTGTACCTTCACTCAATATTGTAGAATTCACAATACACAAAGACAATCATGGCATATTGGTACTTATTATTTTGTTACCTATTTTGAGAAGTATTTTTTTCTTTCATTAAAATATTAATTTATTCAGGGAAAACTAGCCTTTAGTAAATAGAGCCAGGCGCGCCATCTGGTGATCAAAATGTGAGTTGCAGGACTTCAAGGCAACTATGGAGTTTCCCTATAGACAAGGTTGGGGCATCAGAGGGCAGTGTGGGGGACCACTCACTCAGAGAACTCAGGGAGTTCAGTGCCCTTAGGATCCCGACATCTGGGGATGGTTAGACAATTATGCAATACATCCGAGTGTTAACGTGTACGTAGCTGCCAAAGAACCCGTAGATTAATATACAGACTGCAACTTTCCATTCCAGAGAGGATTTCTGAGGTTTCTGGGGTCAGGTCATCTGGGACCACTTGGACATGTGTAGCTTTGCTGTGGGACCATTCTTGTGCGTGTTCTCTCGTGTGTACATCATGTCTGAGTCTCTCCCCTTAGTACCTGGGACTGCGGTAGCTGTGGAAAATTCACATCTGACTGTTGGTCAACACTGCCTAGTTTTTCTACATAGGGAGTACATGGAATTTCTCCTCCAGCAAAGTATGGGCTTTTCTTCTGTCACATTTTCCATTTAAATGGGTGTAGCATAGAGACATCTCAGTCATTAAGCTTTCCCTTCTAGAGTATGAAGTCCAGAATTAGCCCAAGACATATGTTGGGGCATCAATGTAAACTATGGAACACACATGGAAATTAGAGAAAATAAAAAGCAATTCTACTTTCTAACACTAGAAGAATATAGACAACATCTACTAAAATTGTGTGACTTGCATATTTTGGCCAATTGGAAACATACATGCATTCTTTTATGGCAGGGTTGGTACATGCACACGGAAGAACCAAGACTGTGGAATTCTTGGCCCATCTGTTGGCTCACCAGGCAAAGGTGCTTACAGCCCAGCCCAACGAATTTGAGGCCTGGAACCTACTTGGTGGAAGAAAAGAGCCAACTCCTGTAAATTGTCCTCTGATCTTGAACACACTACATCCCACCACAATAAATATATACAATAAATTCTTGTTAAAGCTATGAATTTTTCTACTGCTTAAGGAAGCAGTCCCTCTTCTCCCACTGTCCACACTGCTCAGGGCAGAGGTGACCATGTCCACAGTTTCCCTAGAGCCTTTCCTTCGGGAACTCTGACCCTGAGGCGGTGTTTCACAATGTTCCTTCCATCCCTGCTCTTGCAGGGTGAGGTAAGTGTCCAGGTGGCTGCAGAAATGGGAAGAGTCTGGTCCTCCCAGTGGCTGAGATGAGCAGCCTCTCTTGCCTCACAACCTCCACAAGAGAAAGGATCAGACCAGATTAAGAAAAAGCAGGGGGAAAACGAGGCAGGAGCCTTCAGTATTCCTTCCACACCAGGTGACAGGCGGGCTTGGAGTCCAGCCCTCTAAAAAATGTCAGAAAGCTCTGGAATTCATGGACTTCCCTGAGCTATGTGGTAGCAGGCCTCACTATGTTTACAGTGGAAAAACCCCGCCAGTAGTTTGGGAGCGTAATAGAGACACTGAGTTTGTATGTGCAGGGGCTCTGGATTGGGGTATGCTGTGAAAGGGGATCCTGAGCCAGTTTTCTTATCTTGGAATTAGTTGAGTCTAGGACAAGCCTCTCTTTAAGAAATTGTTTGTCCTCTCCCTAGGTACTCAGCTACCCTTCATTTTCCATGTACAGTTAGCATCATTCCATAAGCTCATTGCAGCCAAGGCACAGTTCTTGTGTCTGGGTCTATCAATTGTCTAGATGCTTCTGCGCACACTGTGGAAGGCAGATATCCTTTATTCAATTGTCTACTGAGTCAAATCCTAATCTTTTCCAGAAAAATCTTTCCAGGCATCCTTAGAAGCAGTGCATTACTTTATTCTATCAGTTAACATACAACATTGAATGTTACCATGATGGACGTCAATATTTTGTCTATGTTGTTAATCTGAGCTATCAGTTTTCCATCGACCTGCCATTGGAACATTTCTCTTTGTCTCTTTTCTTGAGAGTCCCTAAATTGACTAAATGTAACATTAAATACTTTATATCCCATAGAATCCAAATTTCAGATAAGTAAAATAACATGACATGCTCCAACCAATGAAAGTAATTGTTTTGTAGAACTGAAATTGTATGGAGTTGGTTCAATCTGACAACTATGAACACAATAGACAATGTGGAGTAGAAGCAGAATGTTCTAAGGCTCATAAGGACCTAGGAATTTCTAAATGGGGTTTGCTAAGACTCAGGAAATTCTGAAGACAGACTCCTTGAGACTCAGAAGTTAACAATTCAGGAGTCTCTGGAAGTCTTTAAATTGGCCAGATGCGCAGGGCACTTTCCTTAACAAGTTTATATAAGCAACTTGTTCACTGAGGGCCACGTTTCCAGATTTTGTTGTCACTGCCCACGCTGGGGCTTTCAGGCATAAGGCTGTCCCTGAGTGGTTCTTCCACCTGTAAGTAACCCCTACCCATGCTCCCATATGGAACTCTTATAAACTCCTTGTTTCACCAAGTTAGACTTGGGTGATGTCGTGTCTTTTACTTTGGTCGGTCGTTGGTTTCCTCTCTGGGGTTAGTAGACCCTTGTCCCTGTCTTCCTAGCAATAGTGACATACAAGTGTTCTCCTAAGGGGCATCTCTTCAGATTGCTGAAAACCTCTACTGACAGATCCCAATGGAGCGCACAACACCCAGCTGTGCCTGCTTAATGTACAGAAGAAGCCTGGGAAATATTCAATAGCCATTGTTTTGCCTAGCACAAGTGAATATTGGAACTGTGGCCTCTATGAACTTCCTATCTACCTTTTCACCATGATCTCTTACTATAGGATAATATGTAGCTCTTTTCTCCAGGATTGGTGTTTGGGGCATTGTGATATTTTGACTGTAGCTTGTGTGTTAGTGTATTCGGTGGGGTGTAGACTTTCATTTACTTGATTGCTTACTAAAGTGAAAATCTCACCTTAGTACCTCTATGGGTGAAGGAGACAACCTGGGCAGTTTCTCCTTTTATACT